ATGCATATTGCTCAACCATTGGCCATAGATAAGACCGTCTGAGAGACGCTGTAGCTTGTTGTGCTACGCTCGCTCGGGGGATCACCGGCAATGTTTGCCTAAAATCTCCCGAAAAAAGCATGATGATTCCTCCAAATGGTTTGTCAACACCTCTTAAATCCCTGAGCGACCTGTCTACGCAATGGACATCCTCTTTATTCTGCATTGAAATCTCGTCCCAGACAATGACCTTGCAATTTCTCAACCGGGTAGAGACTGCGTCTCGTCCCGAAAAGTTGCACGTTGACGTCGCGTCCGAATTCAGGGGTATTTTAAATGCCGAGTGGGCAGTCAAGCCTTTATATAATAACAAAGCAGCAATTCCGGATGATGCGACTGCGAGGACCGGAACCTTCATGGCATTGCAATAATGGAGGATCGTATTTAGCGTAAATGTTTTGCCAGTGCCCCCTGGGCCATCGAGGAAGAAGAGGCCATTGCTACCATCACTGAGTCGATTTCGGATCGCTTCGAAAATGGCTAACTGTTCTTCGTTCATCGTTGCAAGCTTTTCCATGACAAAATCCCCACTGGCCGCCATTGAGAAATCATTGTCATCACAATCAAAAAGAGTCCCGTACCCCTCCAAACAACTCAGACTTGGCCGCGATAATGACAACACCGTCAGATTGAGACCAACCTCTTCAAGAGCCTGCTCCATGCGACATAGACCGAGTGTCCTGATCATTTCCCCAGTTGGCTCAACCTCCGCGTTTACCTGCTTCATCGCATACGCGCAATCGTCGCACATTGCATTGGCAAATAAATCCCAAAGTCGCCTCGGATTGCTAGCGGGTCCATACTTCAGAATTAGGGCGAAGACTGAACGCAACTGGTAGGCACTTTGAGTTTGCGAACACTCTTCCATGGTGGCCACGAAATGGTCGTCATTCAGGAGGAGGCCGAGTGCCGCCGCCGCGCCATTAAAGTTTTCGTATGTAACTCCACCGACAGTTCGTAGATTCTCGAAAGAGGTGGGGCCTTTGACATGGAATAGCAGCAAGCGTAAAAAGTATCGATCTCCTTGAGAAATACTTGCGAAATAGACCCGGGGAACTGTTTTTGATTTATATGTCCTTACCAACCACTCATTCACGTCCGAATCCCACCGGAAGTGACAAACCATTTCCGGATACGTTAAGGACAGGACAAAAATTTTTGCTTTTTCCAAATAATAGTTGTAGTCACATAGAGCAAAGAACTGAGTAAGTGGTGTTTGTGCTGCCTTTCCCGAGTCGATTTGATTCTGGAGGCCTTGCATGGTGCGAAAGTATAGAATGTTGTCTCAAGGCATATGAAGTGGAAGGCGTTCGACGGCTGGATACCGGCTCGACATATGAAACTGAAAGAGCCGCCAACACGCTGCCGACAATGTGGTCAGTATTATTCGATTCAGATTTAGGACATCGCACTAACCCTCAGTCCCAGTCAAGCTGCGTCCATCGACATATATGTCCAACTCGTTATCCGCAGACATAGCGAGAGAAGCGCGGTCATGTCCTTTGGTTATATACTTGTATAGATACTTCAATGCCTGTATACTCACCGCGACCTCCACGTTAATGTGACATCGATACTTCATCAATAAATAAGTGTTGTATGGCACCACATCACGATTGGTGTACGTGTAGCCACCCTTTATGAACTGCCGGCCATTGTCTCTACGTTGGTAGGCTGGATAAGACTCATCTGTCATCATTGTGTTTTTGACAAATTCCTTAGGAAATCCGGATCAACACTTTCCTTTCTTCCAGCAAGGACTTTCAGAATTACAGGGGCCGTGGAGCATAAAGCTGGTTACCAAGTCAAATAATACTGGTTCTGTGTCTGGATCGGGGATCTCGGCTCGAACAATGAGATCAATTGCTCCCGGAGTCCTCGGTGCGCCACCCTTCGCCATGATCGGAATGAAGTGAGCATGAGGTCTTCCCCTGTTTTGGAATTCGATGGTTGAGACATGAGAACATCCTGGCCCCAGCCTGCCCTTCTTGTTCACGTCGTGCATCATTTCTTCCCACTTCATGTTAAAGACTCTTGTCACAATATCCGGCCTATCAATCGCTACCTGGCCATACTCCAAACAGGACTGCACCTCTGGCCAATTGTCGTTCGCAGTCATTGTGATAAAGAAACTCGGTTGACCATAGTGCCTCACCAACGCCATTGCGTCGTAATACAATTGTGTCATTGCTCGTGGACCTCCGATGTGAGACGCAGGTAATATTACGCGCCGGCCAAAACAAAAATCATTCCGTCCGAGTGATTCGACAGCGCCAGAATAAAGATCCGATCTGATGGTGTCCTGGTGTGTTCTGAAATAATGGATTTGTTGATTTTCCACGCATGCGTAAAGATCCGTTGCCAATTCTTGAAGTAGCATGTGCGAAGAGAGGATTGTCAAGAATTCGGATGGAGGCTTAAACAACAAATAAGCGAACCATTGCAGGGTGGACACCCTCTGACCAGTATCTGTAACAAATGTGGATTAGTCTGAGATAATGTGGAGAGCGGATATCACTAACTTTGGGGATTTGGGACTCTATAATATTGATCATAACCGGCCTGGCCGAATGGAAACAGGACTGGATATCGTAGTGGCAGATAACCGGTGTGGAGTTCGGAGACTCTCTTGAAGCCTCCGTCGACGCTGTGAAGGATCAAATCTCGACTTTCGTTTCCGATGTCACCGCCACCGCCGATTATCATTGCAAATTCAGTTGTAGAAGGCCGAGCGTAAGTCCTGACGTCGTGTCCTGGTTGGCCAATGGCCGTTGGAGGAATGGATTTAATTCTGAACGATATACTACCGTATTGCTGCGAAATCTGGTATGCCATTTTGAATTGAATGGCATAGGGGTTTTTGTCATAGAAGAACTTGAGAAACTGTTCGATGATAGTGGGGTCGATGTCGGCGCGTGACATCAAGACCCGGTGGTCGGCCTCTTCAGCAATGTCGTCACCCATTGTATAGATTTGAGCAAAGCCCGGTGCGGTATTGTCTGGAGGCAGTATACTTCCAGCGTTGTGGATAAGTTGTCCAGATATCTTAAAACATCGTATACCGTAGGGTCCATCAACGGAGCGATCAATCTTTGCGCCGAGTGAAGTAAAACTTAAAGCGTTGTTGTAACTACGAATGTTTTGTCTGAAACCTCGGGCACCTGCGTTTGGAAAAGTTAGCATCGAATACACTCTGCGTATCTGTTGAAGGAACGTACGGTTGCTCTCCGAGGTCAGAAGTTCAATAATAAACGGTGGTGCGGGTGGAAAAGTGAAGTAATGTTGTGGCAAGATGACCTGACCTTTGCGACAACACATACTGTATGAACCTGCTTCCGATGGTTTGAGATTCGTTGGTTTCTCCTCGATCCAGTGTAACAAATGGCACTTTGAGCAAACTTCATTACATGGTCCTAGATAATGTGGAATTTCGGCGCTGAAACGATTGAGTAGGTACAATTCGTGATTTTCTGCTGGATGAGATGCCGCCCTTTGTGACGGAGCCATTGCCGTTCACAGCCTAATTTGATGATTCGGAATGCGGGTGAGGTTGGAACTCAGAGTTGATTTGATGTAACGTGTTCCTGCGCTGCAGCGTATTGAGTTACAAAACACACACTTGTTATCACATATAGGTAAAGTTGAAGCCGTTAACAAAGCTCTGTAAGTTTTAATCACGACTGCAAAACAGACCATGCCTCGAAGGCCATGGTCAAATCATGACGGCCGTTGTAAGAAAAAACGCTGGTCTGGTCCCAAAGATTGGCCTGGTATTCCTCCGTAATGCGATGAGGTTTAAGGTAACCAATGTCGGCGCCTCCTCCAGGTCAATCTGACGCAGTCACGTATAATGAGAGCCCTGTAACTACAGTCACGCTACCTCCAGCGAAGCATGGACCTGGTTGAATATCTCTTGGATGACAGATGCGTTGAGGTGGCTCTCGAATAACGTCATGAGGTAGCTTCCAGTGAACATACGCTGCAACGTCTGGAAGTGAAATGGGCGGGTTTCAACGTTTTGGAGTTCTCCGTTGAGAGCGTCCATCATTGACACAGTGGAAACTCAGACAATGTTAAAGGTGGTCTGATTTTTAGGCTAGTGACCTCATGATCAACCATCAGCCTCGGTGGTCAATAACATCACATTCTACTGTTGCATTGTAGAAAAGAGTTTTTAGCGGAGTATTGTGCATTTCATGGTCACCGCACGCCCACAACATGGGCCACGCCGTCTGCAAAGTTGTATTACAAATAGGAACGTCGCCAGGTCGGACATCATTAAAGACGCAAGGCGGAGAATTGAATGAGTGGCTGAACTCATCGACGTTGTAACTGCAAGTGTTGATGAGTTAGTAATTGGTTACCCCGTAATAAAGTAAGAATCCACCAACGTTGGCGCGTATGCCCGGAAGTATAATATGGTGGACAGAAGGAGGGCCTTGACGTTGATACTCGACGCACGTAATGCATAGTCTGAGGCCTTCATTATTGATATTTACGATCATGATGGAAACGACGGGACTCGGCTCCTGCTGCAACGAAATAATTTCAGCAATCGAGATCATCTTTGGGATTTGTGAGACTGACCATGAGTTCACCGTTTTGAGAATGTGACAAAGAGGGCATAATTATAATCTTCTTTGATCGTGGTTTTGCGGAGCTTACATTCTAAATTGTGGAGAATTGTTGGTCACTCTTATAGTTGTGAGGTCGTTGGAGATGCTGCAATGGCACTCTCTAAGAAACTACCGGTGCGCAGCCACCGCGGCGGGCAAACGTTCGCGGAAGTCAATGAGCAGCGTCCTGTCTCGCGGTGCTAACAGGTAGGTGTTAGCAAACACGACCAAGTCGACATTAAACTCGATCAGGCCTGAACTACGCACGGAAATTCGTACAATCATGGCCAGGCTGGGTCCGAACAAAGACAATACTCAGTGGTTTTCAGTTGGTTTCATCCCTCCAACCAATGTGGAGTCTGTGTTGTTCTGTCATTGGTTCGCTGTACATCGACTAACGACATACTTCTCGTGTCAGCATCACTTTAGCATCCATCAACGCTCCACCTTTACTAACAACCACAGCACCTGCCAAGATGAACGAAGTATATGAAGATGCCGACATTGATCTCGTTCTGCCACTGCATTTCCACACTATAACAACCCTGAGAAGCCAAGTAAGTCTTTCCATGTCGAAATCGGGCTATGTCTCTGACTTATTGTTAAAGGCAGCAGAGATCCCCGGCACTCGAGTTAGACACCAATACTTGCTTTCCAGCATACACGGACGACAGAACCGGATCACAGACATACCAATTGTGGTAGCGACGCCAGCCACATCTCCTGGTCTCGAATGCAAAATTGTTTATAGATTGCGAGCCTCAGTCTTGTGTATTCACACCGACAATACGATAATCCTCTTTCCAGACCCAGCGGACACAATTAAGTTAGGAAACTTCGCCCTCACACGTCGTTCGACTGCAAATAAAACAGTTGCAATCGGGACAGGTCTTATAATCGGATGCTCAGTTTTGTTTCCAGACGATCATGATCGTGAAACGTGGATCTTCACAGTAAAGCACCGCAATTGGGACCCATCTGTAAATTCATTCCTCGTTGCATGACGTGTCGCTGACTGTGATTCGACAGTCATTACAGTTCCGTGTCTTTAATGCTGAATATGTGGTTAACATATGGGTGTTGCTCCAACATCAAGCGCAAACATTTGCGATGCAAAATGTCGTTCATTTCGAGGGTAACGTGATCGGTTTTGACAACACGACTTCGAAGATCTCTATTCGGGTGAGCTTTGCACCGTCAGTGTCATGAACAGTGACTGACTTCCTTCTGCAATGGCAGGTCAATTCCGCTTTCAAGGTCGCTTCGTAGTGGGACCCGCACTATATCTTTGCGTATTCGATTCCCTGACTCAAAGTGAATTCATATCGTTTTGATGTTTCTTATCTACGTGTGTGTGAATTAAGAAGTGTTGTACGATGAGAGAGCGAGAACGGTAATGATGTGGGCGTTGCGGATTTACTTAAACCCGGGTTGACGATGGACTGTCAGGCTCTGAGTGGCTCGGGTAACTAAATCAGATTCTCATTACATTGCAAAATACGTATACAAATCGTTAAAAAAGAGTCCTTATGCAGTGCGAGGTCTTACACGTTGCACCGTCTCGACCTACCATAAATGATTTGTCAGATACGTTCATATTAGGCCATGTAATTCTCACCTGTATTATCCACATGTTGGACTCATCGTTATATTCGAGAACGGTGCCAGAGAGGTCCACGATGGAGCCTGAGCGCAAGTCTGTCAACATTGGTAGCACCTTGTCTCCAATGTCGACATACATTGCCGTGTACCAAATCCATCGTACCGACTTAATCATTGGTCAACTAATGTAGAAAACTTAAAAGTTGGAGACTTACAGAGTTGACGAATACGTTGTGATTCACAATCAATGAACTCCAGTTATTCTCGTCGCCTGTGCGTTGTAGGACAATGCCCCGACTGTGAACGGCGAGGTTATTCAAGCGATGGCCAGAAAGGATTGCAGCAGTCGGCGTCAAAACTTCGACTTCGCCGTACATGACAATCATTGACTCAGTTCCATCATTGGGAGCTATCAGTTCCCCCGCCATGGTAACGATAGTGCCGTCGTCCAATGGCTTGTCGTCGTCTATGTTCAATGTGAAAACGGAGTGATGGCGAAGCGCGAGTGGATTCGCAGTCTCGATTTGAAAGCATCGATGCCAGTGGGAGCGCTGATCCTTTAAATAAACCTAATCTTGAAGTCAATAATGAGCACTGAATGTTTTGGGCTATGCTTACCTCATTTTGGAGTGTGACAACTCCCCTCCACTGCATAGTCAGAGGCGTAGCGTTGGCCGTCGAGATAGGGAGTTTCTCCATATGGGAGGCCGACGGCAGAGACAATAGGTATTGCACAGGAGGATTTATACGTCAAATAACTTCGCTATTGCCTGCGTCGACTGACGAAGACGGGAACATGCACGTGACGCATAAAGTGGTGTTCATTGAGACCCCACCGACTGGACGTCGACGCCGTAATGTGCATCATTGTTGGAAGCACGGATGAATAGATTTCTCATATGATGAGGTGTTTTGGTTGGTTACGACATTGAGAAATCACGTCTTACAAAGTCACGTCATGCGGAATACGGACAACGGTTCCGCTTCGATACAAAAATTGCTTCAGTTTGTGGCACACCATCATGACAACAAAGAGGTTAACGACGCGAGAATCAGGGACCCAATTTGTATCAACTTCGAAACCTGGATATGCTCCTTGGTCATTCACAATTGGTACGGTGTTACCGTTCAGCAAAAAACCAAGTTGGTGACCATGGTAGCCCGAGTGGGCGACAGAGTTCCAGTGGAGAGGTCCGCATTAATAACAGTTATAATGGCTCCATTGCGCGTTGACGTCGACTGCGACGCCGATTTGTTGTAGTGATGTGTTGTATCTCGGTAGCCTGCATTGAAAGTGTCAGCGCACACTACGCCAGATCACTAATTTACCGCTGAGTTCAGAAAATTGAAACTGTAGAAAAATATCACCAATACAGGGGAGGTCAGAAAAATTTGAAAAAATAATGATTCAATTCATGGGTGCTGTCCCCTCATTTTGCATATTTTTGCATATTTTTGCCATGATTTTTGAAGTCTCCCCAAACCAAAATGCTCACAGGGGATATTATGTCAGAAACTCAAATTTGGTCCAAAACTAGCAATATTTGGGCAAAAACCTCCAAGCACAAAAATATGAGTATTTTTGTTCAATCATCTGAACACTTGCAATTTATGGAAGCCGCATGATGTCTCTACAAGGTTTATTAAGGTGCTGAAGCCATTGTAGTTATGACTTCTATGCTTATATATGGTTTCTGCTGTGTACGTCTCTTGATATATCTCACCCATTATTGGAGACACACAGCTTTTTTGTGCACACAAACTGTAGATCCAGAATGTGGAATTCAGAATGTCAAGACATTACATGTGTTGGAGAAAAATTGATGATTTTGTTGGTGTTGCAAGGTCACTGTCTCTCTACCTGCCAGTTTTGGACCAAAATTGGGTTTCTGACATTATTTGCATTGTGGTTGTAAAAATATGAAAAAATATGCCAGATGATTGGAATGCACCAAAGGGCCCAACCAATATTTTTTCATATTTTTCTGACCCCTCCCAGATTTTCCATAATTTTCTATGTCTTCTCAATTTTCTAAACTCAGCGGTAAATTTTCAATTTGGCGTAGTGGCATGTTGTTGATATGAAATCGGAGGCACTCACGTCGATTTCCCATGTTGCAGCAATCTGATCGTAGCCCACGACCCTACCACGGAGACTGATGATGTTGTTGGCGCACAGCGCGTCAATTTCTAGGACGGAGGTGATGTTGGTATTGAGGAGGTAGTTGACGTAGAATTCGACCGATCTGGAAGCCTAGTATAGAGTCGTTAGCACACCTGTGTACACTGAAAAGCACCAAGTGTATTGGATGATACACATGTAGCTATCATCCTATGTACTTGGAATGCCCCCCTTTAGAATTTCTTAGCAAGATAGCTGGTCCTACGGTGACCTAGAAAGATCACTAAGTCACACTCCCATAAGGGGGGGGCCTTGGCCCCCCACACGCACCAAGTACAAATCTCACTACATAAGCAAAAGATCTTACTACACAACTAACCATCTCACTACCAAACCACCACATCTTACTACACGAGTCATAATCTTACTACTCATGTAATAATGTTACTACCACACCATCAGATCCTACTACACAAGCAATAATGTTACTACCCAACCACCAGATCTTACTACACGTGTAAAAATCTTACTACCCAATCACCAGATCTTACTACACAGGTAACAATCTCACTACCAAACCACCAGATCTTACTACTCGAGGAAAACCCTTACTACTCAAGCACAATTCTTACCCCTCAAGTAAGAATATTACTTTAAGTTACTACTCAAGCACATGAATTTACGACTCACATACCAAAGACACAACCCAAGGAAAAGATTTTACTACTTAAATACAGATCTCACTACCAAAATCACAGTCTCACTATCCCAATTCCAATACCTCATCATCATCATACCAACCTTCAGACTAACCAACTTCACCACCTACTTGAGCATCCTCATCACGCTTCAAAGCCCATCTCAATATAGCTATCACTAAGAACCAAGGCTTCCATCTTGTCTACCTTGATTTCCCCATTACTCTCGATACGGCGTACAAATGGAGCCCAGCCACGACAAGTATGTATTACCGGTACCTGGCATCATTGAAATATTTCACAAAGATCGAAGAAAGATGGATGAATATGTCTCAGATTTTCCAGCCACGCACCACGGATATCGAATGAGAATTGGTAACTCACAAAAAAAGAGCAGTGCAGTCTTGCACTACGAATGCTACAGATCAGGCTATCCATCCGGTGGACCTACTGTTGTCGGAACCACCAAATCGGCTCGTATTGGATGTCCCTTCAAACTAGACACTCGATTCCTCTATCATTCAACATCCTGGATCCTCATCCATACTCATCTTGGTCACAACCACCCGCCCGATTTTAACGTTAAACCTCGCAAGAAGTATAAGGACCCTAACGCTGGGCCTATCCTAGCTCCCGGAATCGTTTTTGATGAGGACGCTGAATCACCGATGCATGAACCGGCGAATGTAAGATCACAGTAAGAGATTCAACTTCACATTCATACCAGCCAATCAAAGAAACCAACTTACTTACGTGACGTTCCCTATATTTTCAATAGTCTGGATTTCATAAACGAACCTACCTTTACACCTGAAGCAGCCAATCCACTGGCGAACTCAAACAGATGGTAAGTAAATAACTTTCAATCAATGAGATAAGCAGATCGACAAAAAAAGTCCACATTGTTTACCTTACCTTTTATGTTCAATAGGCCGCAAACAAAAGTCGACCCCACCTCAACAAGAGTCAGTGATCTTCATTGTTTTCAATGAATCATCCCATACGAATCCCAGTTTATCATCATTCTCATCTAATATCTCAGGAAAAGCTCATTACTCAACCGATGATGAATCAGAACACCGACCAGCCTGACCATCATGTAGACCCTTTGGCCAAACAAAACAAAGTTACTCCACCTCGACAGCGCTACTACGACATCGATGCCGACCTGAAGACATTTGAGTTGGTCGAATCAACCCTCTCCACCCTCAGAGCCCAACTGTGCGCCATGGCCCCGCATCGACGGCAGAGTGTCCTAAAGAAAATCCAGACGATCATCAGTCATGAACACATGGTCAATGATGAATACACGTTACCTATCTCATTATTGCCTGAACCCCCTCAGCCGGTACGTACAAAAACTTAACCTCGACATACGACGCAAGATTATGAAACTTACATGTTCATTCAAACACATAGAAAATCCTTTACGATTCGGTCACCCCACTTTCAGCCCGAACATCACCAGCCCCACCCGTTCAGGAAGAACACTCAGTAAGCACTAAGTGTAGGAGGACGCGTGTAATTGATGTGAATTTCAACTGATGATAAACTTGTCTCCCTAGGTCGAGAGGCTCATCAAAGAGTTATGTGGACCATCCGATGTTACAATGTCAACCTTCAACTTTGAAGACCTAATCATCTCTCAGCCTGAGGCTCTTCCACTGGTTGATACTAACAACCAACCGGCTCCCAACCCACCATCAATTGCTTTGCTCCCAATGCCAACCATCAATCACCATTCCCAACAAATGACCAATGATTTGCAACCTTCGGAAATACAAAGTCCGGAACAGGACATTAAACCCTCGCACCCAGTAACCTCGCTTTCACTATCACCAACTCCTAGTCCACGAGTGACACGTAAACGTGCCCGCGAGGCTATACTATTACAAAAGCCTAGTGTAATTAATCCGAATCTACCGGCCCTCCTGGCGAAGTACCGGCTTCACTCTTGGCTTGAACCTTTTGTCATCGACGTGAGAGAAGTGAAATCAGATGGGCACTGCGGGTTCCGAGCTATAGCAATCTCCATTGGCGAATCCCAGGATGAATGGTACAGTGTGCGCCAAAGAATGGCTGATACAGTAACCAACACCTCAGATGATCGCCTTATACCTGAGAATCGACCCGAAGCGTTGGCACGGCTTCTCACAACCAAACCCAACGTTCTCACTGAACAACAGCACTGGCTTGGCATGCCCAGTTGGGGTGGGGTGATCGCAAACACATTCAATCGTCCTGTGTTGTACTATGAACCTGGCGCTTACAGCCAGATGGTTTTTCCCTACTCCACCCCTTACAACCTTAACCCTCCCATCGTTCTTGCCTTCGCCGACTATCACTTTACATCTCTATTGCTCGATTTTACCCAAGCCAACTTCCCAGCTCCTCGTATATGTGCAACATGGCGGCGATTCCATGAAACCGCCGCCTCCAGTTGGTTTGACGCGTGGAAACCCCTCGTAGAAAGTCATGCGGTTTTTTTGAAAGCACATAACAAAAATCGACGCCGAAAAAAAAAAGAAGTTTGTATTCACATTGACTGATACAAACTCATGCGTTTCATACCTCACCATTTACATAACTATGACTTTATGACCTAGTGGAAGCCTTATCATGACAGACTGTCACTTGTAGCTAGTATCATGTGTAATAATTTCTGAGTTGATTGAGCAATGAATACCTTTAAAATTGCAAGCACTTGATCGCAAGTCTTTGACTACCAAGTCATTCTTTGGCAATGTAACACAAAAATGAGAACCAATATACTGTTATCAATTCCTGAAAATTGTTAACAGTATATTGGTTCACACCAATTTAAACATTACCCACATGTATGAAATAAGGATTAATCCGTTCAGACATTTTTCGAGTAATTATAATGAAATACATTGCCAGGTCATCAAGCAACAAAGGTTTGGTGAGTAATCACAAAGGCTTGGTAAGTTATCTATATTACATCAATCAAGTGCCATACGTCTGTATCCAAGTTCCATCTCCCAGTCATCTTCAATACCTTGTTCCATTTGTTCCTCTTCTTCTAACATACCTTGGTACTCTGCCTCCTCATCCGCCCCTTCTGGGGCCCAGAGTATTGGTAGCATAAGTATATCTACCGGAGCACCTGTGGTCCGCGCAAGCATTTGCTGCCACAGAACAAGTAAAGTATTGTCTGATTCCACCCTCCCTTCCACGTACGCTGTAGAACTCCTACGCTGTGTGGCGTAGGCTGAGCCGGAGAGGGGAAGAATCACCGTGCAGAAGGAATAACCACACGGATGAAACTATGGTTGTCGTAGACTGCCCTCAACCTTTAACTAAAAGTTCAATAATAAAAAAATTAACACCGGAACAATTCTTAACAACTTTTCTTCCTTCACAAATCTATCACGTAACAATAATCTAATATTTCTAAAAGAACCTCAAGATTCCGCGGAAACCAACAATACCCTACCAACTGTACACACACAATTAACACAAAACTAAGTAAGTTTCGAGTTAGACGTAATGTTTTACTACTTATAATAATAAAACTAATTGAACAAAAATAAAAAACTAGATAATTTTTATAAAGGGAGACGGGATAGAATCAAGAAAAATAAAATTTCTAAACTCTAGTATAAGTTTAGCAGAACTACACTAGAAAAAAAACTTTCTAAAAAAAATGGCTAAGGTCTAGGAGGGATTTGAACCAAGGATCTGGCTAGGTCTGTGTAAAGGACTTTCACGTATTGTGAAATATAGCAATAAAAAAAATAAAAAAAAATAACTAATGAACTCTTGTCCCAGCTCAGCAAACACCACCGATTACAATCTTTCAAGATACTAAAAGAACACTATCACTCCACTGATTTGATTTAGGAATAACTAAGCTTAAAGACAACAATCAAACAAAGAACAAACTTCAAAACACTTCAAACAAGACTCGTTATTGATTTAATTTTAATTCTTCGAAAGAACGAACACTCTCAATAATACGCTAACTCTTTTAAAATCAATCACTCAGAGACTTATTTTTCTTAATAACGACAAATTCTTTCTTTTTCTTTCTTAGATGAATCACCAAAAAAAAAAAAAAAAACACACACTTCACACACACAGACACGAACGAGACAAAAAAAACGAGACCGATACATTTAAGAAAAAACCTCCTGATCACTCCCTCCTCCCTTTCCAATTTCGACTTCATCTCCGATCGGGCCTCTATGTTCAAATCACGACATCACCAGATTCACTTTGATTTTCGATTTAGTTTTATTTCAAAACAGCTAAGTACCCTGTTTTTTACTGCTCATCCTTTTATTAACTTGTTCATGATCTGTGTTGACTCCCTTTTTTTTCTTTCTTTCACTCATCTCTTCTCTCTAGTTGTTTAGATTTCGATTTTCAGGACCTCTCGATCGCACTTCATCCTCAAGCTCCAGCTCGATCTTCACACCATCGATTTACAATGTAAGTTCAATTTCTTTTCTCTCCTTCTACACTATCCCATCCTTGACTTTATGTATTTAGATTTCGATTTTGACATCATTTAAGTAAGTTTCTTTTCCCATTCACTTCTTTGTTTGTTCTCATACTGACTCCTTTACCTCCTTTCTTTGTTTTCATTAGTTTTAACTTTGGACCTCAAAATCGAATGTCTATTCTGTTTCCTTTTTTTTTCTATTCTTATTGTATCTGATGAATAGATTGATGGATTCAGTTTTGATTCTGACCTTTGATCTTGATCTTCATTTAAGTAAGTTCTTTCATTTCTTTATCTTTGTTTGTTCTTGTTTACTAACTTTATCTTCTTTGTTTAAAATTTTGATTCCCTTTTCATTTTGCTTCTAGGTATCTATTTGATAAGTTGAAACAAAAGCTTCCATAGGACCCCTCTATCTCAATCACTACTCAACTCTAACCACCTTCACTTCAATATCAATCAATTCAGTCTCTAACTACACCAACTCCATTTCGATCTCAGCCTGTTTCAACTACAATCTTCATAAACATTCAATTCAATTTCGATCTTGAGCTCTGATCTATCTTGTAAGTCTTTTGTTACTTTCTCTTTCATCTTTGTCTATCTAGATTTTGATTTTGAGGTCTGTTCTTAACATTTTTCTCCACTCTCTTACACAATAATGACAAGTTATATTGTTTCTTTATTTGTCTGTCATTCGATTTTGAACTTTGCATCAATTGTTTAAGATTAATTCATTTAAATTTGATTGTAGGCCTTCTTAATCAATTTTCAACTCTCTTGACTTCAATTTTAATTTCGACTTCTTGATCATTTAGGTAAGTTTTTTGTTCCTTCTATTCTGTTGCATCATTTAAACTGACTTCTCCACTTTCTCCTGACTTGCTTTAATGTTAGTTCATAGCTGCATAGATTCCAATTTCAATTCTTGACTTCTTTCTTGTAGATCAACTGTTTGGGGATTGATTAATCTACTAGGTGAGTTTTCATTCTTGATTCATCAATTCTAATCTTATTTGTGTAACATCAATGTTGACATTTTCAATTTTTGACCCTCTTTTTTTTTCCAAGGTATGTATGTATCTCATTTATTTATCTTTTTTGTATGTATTGTTTTTATTTGAACTTCTATGTCTGTATAAAATATACCATTTTGAATGTAAGATTGATGTTCATTGAGAATAACAAGATCCATATAGTGATAATTTGAATTGAAATGATGATTTCGATTATTTGTCTTGAGTCCACATGCCTTGATAAAAATTGAAGAGTGTGATTTATGGATCTTTTCTTTTTTCTGTTGTGAGTTGATCTAATGTAATAATAAAAAAAATGATATGAGATTAAGACGTGATCATAGGAATTGCTTTCCACAACGCTTGGGTTGTTTCCAAAACCTCTTTCAAGCTCCTATTCCAATGCGCCCACAGGCGACATGCACGTTTAGCCAGGCCAGAGTGTCGGGCTACGGGCTTCTAGTGCGTTACACTTCTGCCCAAAATTAGCTGTCAGTAATACATCATGGTACCCATATGTAATATGGGTAATGGAGTACGACTAGGTGGCAAGGAGCTTACCCATATGTTCATTTGGCCTGGCCCTATCAACACGATTTTGATAGTCAATCGCCCAACCCATGAGCTGCCTAACCTCTCGCGCCAGACGTCGGAGCTCCTCTTCAGATGCTAATTGATTTCGAAGTGCTACTATTCCATCCTTGGTCCTCTGGCATGATGCCCATGGTTCATCAAGGTGGTTCAGCGCGACTTCATCCCAAAAAGGATGTAGCAAATCCATTTCAAGAACCTCATCCAAACTTGGTAACACCAGTCGCGGTGTTGGTCGGTGACGTTGATTGTATCGAGAAGCATGCCTTAAATACGTATCCAGTTTCTTCTTGAGGAGGATTTGTTTTTTTTTCCTTAGTTGCTCATTACGAGGTTGCTGGGTCGCACCTGAGGCGCAACTGATTATCAGCGTATGTGTCCTGTGTTTGATCATGTTTATTACGCACCAGTTCTGACGGCGGCATCAGCCCTCTGTTGTATCACATCCATCGCAGCCTCGTACAAGAACCCTAAGGCAACCTGGACGCTGAGCATCGCCTTAACCCTGACATCTAACAGCGCAAGGAAGCGATCAATTTTGATTTCCTTGTTCCAAATAAAAATGGCACTCACTGCTCCCTCTCCGAGCGTTCAACAGTTCCGCATTTCCTAGCTCGTCCGCAACGGCTTGGATTTGGGCTTCAAGAGCAACAAGTGACGCTGGCAGGTCCAGCAGTTCATGACGCTGTTCGGCTGTTCGTATGGGGGCGTTACCTGCATTCATGGCTGCCAGCTTTTGACTGAACACAAAGTCAGTCAGATGTTGTACTTTCATCTTCAGGGGGGCAGAGATAAAATGTAACTTGCCGGGCTTCCAAAAGCTCCTCCTCAAGTGTCAGCAAAACACCTAAACGTTCTCGTTTCTCCTTTGCCTCCACGGTCATGGCTTTCAGCTGCAAGGAACGTTGACGATCCCACTGGATCTGAAAGTACACCGCGGTTTGAGCCGGATCTTGCTGTGTCAGCTTTGCGAGCGAAGCCTTGCTTTCTTGCAGCTCGGCTAGATATTTCTTGGCTTGGCCAAGCATGAAAGAAACTGCGAACGGATGACAATGTATCCTATTTAGTTAGTCATCTGAAAAATCAATAACATCTGTAGATAATAAACGACACCTGATTTCCAACGCAATTCTTCATTGCGATGGTTCGTCCACAGATCCAAGGTGACCATCCGGCGCTGTTTGGTTGAATACCGTAGCCCTCTGACCAGAGGCGAGATCTTGAACCACACACGCTCCATTCCCTCTCCATTACTTTTGCCCCAACCTCGATTCAGGCGAGGGTTATACTCCAGCTGACATGACCAATTGTGAGCGTAGGCGTGGAATAGAGCGGTTCCGAGTTTGACCTGCTTAGCATAATTTGGATCTGTGAAGACTTTTTTCTTCCAGTTAGCATTAGCAGTCAGTGAAGTTAGTATAAGTTTATACTACTGAGATCTGACAGGCGGACCTTCTTTATGGTTTTGTCCAAATTACACCCTATATCGTATAAAATACCAACGGTGGTCCTTCCATTTTGGTCTGTTTTGATCAAATCTAGCAACCACTCTATTAGCGCAAGCGCATTATGGGATCTGCATAGGGCAAAATGGTCAGTCTAAGATAATCATCTCTTCGAAGTTTGAATTATAAACATAGACCTGCTTTTCGCCGCTTTGAATAAGGTTGATGAATTTCAAGACATGGTCATGTCTACATGCCATACCCAGCAATCCGGATTCATCCATGTTCTTGAAATGTCCTCGACCTCTTGCATCGTTTGCAGCGGTGTGAGCTTCAGTACACGGGTCCTGAAAGGATAAATCAAATCACTCTACTTTGAGTATACATACTGAAAGACCAGTTTAAATCGCTGCTGAATCTATTCACTTACTCCATCAAGTGGTACATCCGGTGTTTGACTCATGAAATGATCCTTTGCTTTGACCAATTTGGGATCCAGGAACATGGAGGGTCGAGGAGGGAGTGAACCGGGTATTGGTACACTGGCACGTGCATGTCGTTTATGCTGAAAGTTACCATCTAGGCACACCACGATGTGAGGTTCTTCTGGCCGAACCACGCCGACTGCAGGTCCAAAACATGCCGGACAGTTGTCCGCAAGCTTGTCAAGCTCAGATAGTCGAAGTCTTTGATGTTCCAACTCTCGAATTTGTATAACCAATGCTCGATAGGTATCCATCGCAACTGAGAAAGGGTGTCGCCAGTTTCTAGCCTGCTAATCCCCGTTAGTAAATTCTTTGGCAAACAAATATCACGTTGATTATATCTTACGTACGTGCCCTTTTGGTGTAAGTATCTCTGGACTGCCGTTGTTAAGCATGTCATCTAGTGCTTGACAGTACCCTTCAGTTGGAATCGCAAATCGAATCCACTGAGAGTAATGGTGGACCATTAGGCGAACCGAAAACGCGGTGCGAGGCCGCGAAGGTGACGCAGCAATGTAACCCATCTGCAGCAGCCTCTGTGGGTCCGAGAGATCACAATGTCTGCAAAAACAAACCTTGACTCGCCTTCTAGCTAAGTAAGTTAGGCCAACCTACAGTTAGTATATGAAAATATAAAGGCCACGATCTCAATAGGACATATGATGTTATGATAACCATGATGTAGCTCACAAAGGAGGTCCACAAGGTCCACGTCGCGCTCCGTCCGCACAGAGCACGTGCAGGGAGGACGTACGTCTTCGTTCCAGTTAACTTGATTACCCCAATTGGATGTTTGCAGTCGCCTTCGAAGAAATGTGGGTAACATAATTGCATACTGCCAACTCCATCGTTTCTCGTTGGCCAGGCGATCAGCTAAGTGTAATTCCCTTCGCAAACCTGCCATAATTGGGTCGTCGTGTAAGTCGGGAAGGTCACCATCCTCACGATGGCCATCATGCGGCATGGGCATAAATCGAGTCAAGTCAATCTCCTCGTCGTCTTCGCTACGTTCTTCAGCCGGATTATCATTTTCGTCGCCCGGCTCAGGTAAGTGCGCTACTTCACCTATAGGATGGTGAGGCCCACAAGGATTGTTAAGCCTATGCGTAATTTCAGCATCTGCGGCCTCAGCATGCTCCAAATCACGGGTCCGGCTGAGTTCTAGCTGTCGTTGCAAGGGCGTCGATGCCTTGGGTTGCTTCGGCCGATGATTCAGCCCGCGTATGAGTCGATGTGACGGCATGGTCGACAAAGAGTCGATTCCCTGCTAAGCGCCTCCATGGTTCTCAGATTGATAAATCACTTATTAAACTGAGGCGCACATCGTCTATTGGCGTGTGATAATGTCGCCGTTTTGGTACATTGTGAATTCCCCAACAAGATTGAAATGACCTCCTTACAGGTCAAACATATCATCAGTGGCCCATACTACAGTGTTGAAACTTCTCAATCGGGAAATAAATAAGCTTGTCTGACCGTTTGCGTGGTTGAGATGTCCCAATCGAGATACGTAAATAAACAGGGTGTTCGCTGCTGACCACCGAATCTTTCAATGTGCCAAGCTCAAAGGCGTGGTCATGTGTCCGCTAACGTAGGTTATTATCCCACCCAGTTATAATCTGTTCTGACCGTGGCCACATTGCGCTACTTCGATTATGTAAATCGAAGGGGTCATTAGACCCCAGTGCGGTTCCTGATTAATTTGGGTCTTGTATTTGCCTGATCGTGAAATCGTACCCTTTCATGGAGGTGCGCTTGTGTGATTAATGTCATGAGTGTGGACAGGTAGCGAGTGAAATATTGAGGATATGATATGAGCTATCGTTGGAGGATTGGATAGACTCTCGAGCTGTGATGTAGCTGGGAGCAACATTCGCTTGTGCATATTACATGACAAGGCTGCATATTACATGACCACACCACTGGTCATGTAATAAATATCCCATTGCACATGGAATATCACTACGTCAACTGTTGATCACCATGGCATATTGGTTTGTTTGCCATTCATTATGAAGAGGATATTTGATCACTCCACAAATAAATCTTATATTTATGCTTTAGCATGGAATGCGTAATGAAAAAACAAGGCATGTAATACTCTAGCATTTACATACCACAGTTAATGCATTTCCCTATCCAATGGAGTTGGTTAGATACATTCCTATGCAATTCTATTCCCAAGGGTTTATATTTATCATATAGCACTTGTGGGGTACACTTACATTACTGGAGTGGGTTGCAGTGGTTTTATACCATAACTCCATTATTGTATATGTAAGTTATGTGTTCAAAATCCGGTTGTTCTATCTTTGGTTTGAGCATAAATTCAAACAGAAGTTAGAAAACAACCGGATTTTGTATACATAACTTAATTATACAATAATTAAGTTATGTATACAAAATCCTTTGTGGTTGTGGTATCTGATGGTTGAGGAATGAAGTAAATAAACAATCATTTCGGTATAAGTGGTTCATAAGTGGTTCATGCCACCTTATACCCCCATGATTGTTTATTTACTTCCACATCTGTGGTGGTGATTGTATAAGTGTGATATAAGTTGTTTGAGCAATGAAGTGGCACCAGCAATGAATTTTGTATAAGTAGTTCATGCCAAAAAGTTATACCACCATGATTGATTATTTAATTCCACGCCTGTGCATATACATCCACAATCATGGTTGTATATTCCAAACAACTTACAGATTATGTTTACATCTTCATGCCCCCTGATCCCACCATGATGTATATTTATTTCCACATCTGTGGAGCTGATTGTATAAGAGTGGTATATGTTTTTTGAGCAATGAATGAAGTGACACTAGCAATCTTTTTTGTATAAGTGGTTAATGCCAAAAAGTTATACCACCATGATTGTATAATTAAATCCATGTCTGTGGTTGTTATCCACAATCATGGAGGTCAATGCCAAACACCTTACACAACAATGGAAGTGCATGAAGCACTTACACAAAGTGGTTCAAGCACTTCCATTGTTGTGTAAGGTGTTTGGCATTGTGTAAGTGGTTCATGCCAAATAACTTATCCCACATACATTGTTTGTTTACATCCTCATTATGATTTTTGTATAAGTGGGTCATGCCAAACAAGTTATACCACCTCGATTGTTTATTTAAATCCACTTCAGTGGTTGTTATCCACAATCATGGTGGTATATGCGCATTAACCACTTATACTAAAATCATTGTTCCTTTACAAGAAAATATGTGGATGTGATTGTATAAGTGGTTCATGCCAGAATTTGTTTACATCTTCATGTCCCCTGATACCACCTTGATTGTATATTAAATTCCACATCTGTGGTGGTGATTGTATAAGAGTGGTATTTGTTTTTTGAGCAATGAAGTGACATTAGCAATCGTTTTTGTCTAAGTGGATCATGCCACCCAAGTTATACCACCATGATTGTATAATTAATTCCACGTCTGTGGTTGTTATCCACTGACATTGGTGGTATATGCCAAACAACTGACACAACAATGGAAGTGCTTGAACCACTTATACCACATTGATTGTTTCTTTACGTCAACATCTGTGGGTGTTATTGTATAAGTGGTTCATGCCAAATAACTTATACCACATATATGGTTTATTTACATTCTCATTTGTGGTTGATTTTGGTTCCATCCACACCCACACCATATATATTGTAATTTATATATGTGGAGCACACCTGTGGTTGCTTGATAATATACTACCCCTTTTCTAATTTGGGATACATAACCATGGTGGACTACAATTATGGTGGTATATATTGGAAGAGCAATCAAGAGATACTCTTGAAAGCTCATTAGGTTGAGCATTCATTGTTGTATAAGTTGTTCATGCCAAACAACATCAAATAACGCATGATTGTATTTTTACGTCCCCACCAATCATGGTTACTCAACCATGATTGGTGGGGGCTTGAGTTAGGGTAGTTGATGGCCAAATGTGTGACACAATGGAGAAGACATGAGTATTCTTACTGTACCCCACAGGTTGCACAGTATTGCTTAATTTTTAAACAACTCACGATCGTGTTATAGAGATATGAGTGTCCTGAGAGTTGTAAAGTGATTGTTTTGTTAAGGATTGCTTAGGTTGTGAACAACCAAAGATGACATGCTTACCTTGTCATCTAAAGTGATTGTTTTGTTAAGGATTGCTTAGGTTGTGAACAACCAAATATGGCATGCTTACCTTGTCATCTTTGGTTGTATCATTAACAATATATGCTGGAATTATATATCCGCCATATATAAATGTTAACATGCTTACCAAGGTAACTTTATATGATATATAAAGTTACCCTGTGATATTTGTATAATATATAAAGTTCACAAGAATGACAACTATTATATGTTTGACGCTGAGTTACTGATAACATGCTTACCATGTCATCTTTATATATGTGTCACAGAAAGTCTTACAAGTATAAATGTTAACATGCTTACCAAGGTAACTTTACCAAGGTAACTTTATATGATATATAAAGTTACCCTGTGATATTTGTATAATATATAAAGTTCACAAGACTGACAACTATTATATGTTTGACGCTGAGTTACTGATAACATGCTTACCATGTCATCTTTATATATGTGTCACAGAAAGTCTTACAAGTTTAGGTCAATAATATTTTTCGTCCATCCAGTAAAATATATATGTTAAAACATATATATTTTAGATATTTAAATTTACAATTTACGTGTCTTTCTTGTATCACAACGGTCCTTACTCTCATCCTGATGAAAACGTCTTTTTTTTCAGCTGAATCAGCAGAATGAATCTCACACAGATTATTTCAAATCCATAATCGACAAGATCCTTCCACTTTTTGAGTGTTTTTGCAGCAAGTCATTAGCTAGAAGTATATATTTATACTTGCATATTGATACTTAGTCTCACCCAGATTTATTCAGAAACAAAAACAAAAACAAGACGCATCCACTGAGTCAATCATTTCTTCCACCTTTTATCTGGTAATTCCAAAATATCATCAACATCCCTAACTTTACGCTCACAGTTCGATGTATAATTGTACTGTTCATTCGTCCCGATCTTGACACTTGCACGGGCAATCTTGTAAGTAATTTGCGAAGAACACCCCAGGCGCGTGTAATGAACCTTCTCACCACGTTTGTTCAACTGAATGGATTCTTTGGAAGGAATAGTATGATGAAATGTCGATTTGCCATTCCAAGCGATCTGGACCGCAGACTTACCACCAAAGTTGATAGCCACTCTATATTCAGGGAATATAAACCACCCTCCTTCAAGCTCGAAACCTTCGCTTTGCGTGACAATTTGACCACTAATACTATCAATCGGATACCATAGACAATATACCTTGCCTTTTTCATTATCAGTATGAGGTTTGTTATAAAAGTTACCCAAGGTGAAAGCAAAGTTTGCACCAAAGTCGAGAGGTCCGCTTGGTTGATACTTGGAGGTGGATGCCATTGAAGGGGCGTGGAGTTGGTTAAGTTGCTGGCGAGCAACAAGAAAGCCTTCATCGCAAAAGCTTTTGAATCTCCCTCCTATTCGTGCACCAAAGTCAGGTAGCCTGTCTAAGAAGGCCTTATACAATGTTCGGGAGGAGCCGTAAGCAGGAGTATAAGGTGATATGAGGATATCGCGCGAGTATCCTACTGTTTGACCAAAACAGTGCATTCTCCCATGAAGCAGAGCACCATTAGTCGTTACGGATCGCTTGCGTTTCTTAGAAATTGTAGTAGCAGTGTCGATTGACTTTTTTTGGGTTGTCACCGATTGATTACCCTGAAATCACGACATATCAGGATTGCAATTGAATCATTAGCGATTACCATCTTTGCAAAGGAATTAACTAACCGCTTTTGCAATGCTGAGGACCTTAGGGTTTTTCTTTTTGGAATTGGCGCCATCTTCCGCATCCAAAGGGGGGAGCGAGGTTAATGGGGAGGAGGACCTATCATAATGTAAGGGGCCAGGACGGGGTACCAGGTTTGTGCTTGTAGGAAGGTGTTGGACTTCGTCAGCCTCTTCATCCGTTTCTTCATCCAAAGGAGGAAGCGACGTAAGAGGTGAGGAAGGCGGAGATGAGTCATCACGATCTGTTTTGGAGGATTGCATAGGTAAAGGAGCTAATTCCCAACATGCCATTAGCATATTATTGATCGCTGAAGTGTAATAAACCAATAACAATACGCACCATCGGATTTTGGAACGTAAGTAGGAGATTCCAAAGGTATAGGTGTTGGCAACCTCTTGAAGAGCTTGGTGGACATCAAGATTGTTGAGACGTCGTTTTGATGCTTCTCAAGCTCATCTGGTGACAAAGATTCCAAATCTTCAAATGCGTACGTAAAAATAAGTTCATTTGTATCCCGATCGACGAATTGACCTTTTCCATGGGTTATAATCTTATAGGTGTTGAAGATTATTTCCATGGTGCGGTCATAATTCTCATACGGAAGTACAGGATCATTAAGCCTGTAGCGCAGGCCATCATACGTTTTCTCGGTGCGGTTGGCTGAGTGAGGCGACTGGTCAGTTGCTTTAGAATCCAAGTTCTTCCTAGCCCTCTTGGCATGTCGTCTATGAAATTTGGAGCAATAGTATAAGACTCTATAGTGAATGGGGTCAATCAGGTAACAAGCCTTTACTCACGTGCCTGGTTTTCGCCTCCTTTTTACAAGGTGAAGAGGAGGGTTTGAAGGGACACCCTCGGTCTTTTGTTCCCAATACCAGTCGAGTGCTCTTCGCCTACAAAACCATCCAGGAAGTGTTATTACACACAGTGTAATTGTTCAACGTTCAATATGACCTACACGACGCCTCCTTTACCTTCGTTTGGATTTTCCTTGCTCGGTACAGCAGATTTGCATGCAGGGTCAAGCCAGCAGTATGACTTTGGGAAACCATCGGCCGCTAGGTACTCGTGCGGTACATGTGCATAGGATTTTGGCATTCGGAAGGGCTTGGGAAGCTAAAATTCATCCATCACGGTGAAAGTGGTTGTTCAATAGGAATTCTGGAAGTAAATACCTATCTGTAAGAATACTACATCTCACTTACATCCGCATCAGTATAACCAGTCTGTCGCTTAATATCTATATCTTTTAAAAGGTCCGATAAGAATGTCACCCCAGGTAACACTGGTTGATTACCATCGCTTTGGAGATTCCTGTGGAGTTTAACACCAATTGTAAGTCACCCATGGTTACACCTGGCAAAGCCAGGAGAAGGAAGCGATTACTACAAACACTTGGTCGGTATCAAATTTGGACCTCTTATCGGTAGTCCATCCAGGTTTAATGTTGGTCATTATTGGTGGAATGTATTCTGTTGCATAATCATGAGTATGAGTCAAACTCGTTAGTACTTTGCCTAATTGCATATATGGAAAAGATGGAAACGTGAGAAAACGTGACCATTCGAGCTAAGAGGCGGTAAGTGGGTGGCAGGTCGTATTTCAAGTTATGCAGAGGCTATCTATGCCAACCTGCGCCAAACCGCCTCCTTTGCTGATAGGGATCATATCGCTTCCTGAGGTTGAGAAGGGGGAACAATAAGATTAAGAAATATAGAAAGAAATGCTTTACTATTGTTTGGAACCTAAGGAGTTTTTAACATCGATTAAAAGGCCAGATCTCAAGACCACTCGAAGTTACTGTCTTGCAAAAGTTAAGCGGTACTAGTAGTAAGATTGAAGGAGATGTGTAATACCTCCGAAAAGATTTGAGGACTTACTACGGAACCGAAGGGCGCCAAGATAGAATTCTTGTTGGAAGTGATTGATAGAAATTGGAAGCTATGTAACTTGGCTGAAGCAGAAGAATAAGTATGAGTCAAACTAGTCTGGACTCTGTCAAATCACATTTATGGAAAGATGGAAACGTGAGAAAACGTGACCATTCGAGCTAAGAGGCGGTAAGTGGGTGACAGGTTGTATTTCAAGTTATGCAGAGGCTATCTATGCCAACCTGCGCCAAACCGCCTCCTTCGCTGATAGGGATCATATCGCTTCCTGAGGTTGAGAAGGGGGAATAATGAGATTAAGAAATATAGAAACACTTTACTGTTGGAACCTGAGTAGTGCGGTTTGGATCCAGGGTCCGATGCTTCGGTTGGATGTATGGAGATCAAAACGATAAGTCGATGTGGCGGAAGCGGCAGTAAGCAGGAAGGTCGGTTCCAGCAGTTGGTCATTCGGTAGATGTTGAAGAATGTATTTTTTCAAAACATAACAAATAAAACTCACCAAATATCTGGTATGTACTTAATGGTTGATACGCATTGACATATGTGTATGTCTTACTCGCTCACCTACTAACCCTAACCCAGGTGCTGTATGTAGTGTGGGTTATTTCAAACACCAGGCGCAGTAAGTTGCTAACATGTCTATCGAAATTGACATGTAAGTTGTTTTCAGCACTCTGAGGTACGCAGGTACTTGTGCTTCCTGGTTGGCATAATTATTAACTTAGTCAGTCAGTTTATCAATTAATTACTTTGATCCGGAGCAATCAACTGAATGCAACGTCAGACCTCACCTTCATCTCGCACTTTTGGAACTTCCGCCCCAGTCTCCTTCTCAAACATTGAATCAATAACTAAACTATCACGATCTTGATTTACACAATATTTTATGAATCAAGTAACAGAAAAAAAATAACATTAAGAAAGTTTTCCAGATTGCCTAGTGTGGATGTTTATCATAAGGCTTTACAATCAGAGTGAGTTCAAATTCATATGTAAAGTTTCAAAACTGCGATTATAAATTTGACTTCAATTTAAAGGATGAGAGCAGTCCCCCAAAAACGTAGATCATAACGTAGATCATAAATAGCAATCTATAAGTGGCCGACATAGAATGTCAGGATGCAAAATTAATACAATCTACATCGCCTAATGGGGTCCGGTTAGCTCTGCCAGAATTTGAGCATTTACTGATTCCAAACTTGAGTCGCACTTTGAGGAGTTTGAGTTGCATTCATCCTCCGCAATGTTTTCGTATTTCTTGGCCTTTTTCATGCGAACAATAGTGTAATTGTGTGAATCAATATCTTCGATCCAGGCGTCCACTTCGTCGTTTGTGAGACAGCTGGGGCCCTTGGAAAGCATTATGTCTGTCACCTGGCTGTCGGGGGTCCGATGGAAAGTAAGAGGCACATCACCACGAAAGGTCTTCTTTGCGAATGCTTCGGTCAACTCCGGGCACTTGGGGTGGGCATCACCTTTGCCTTGATATCCGCCGCGAAGGTAGGGAGCTGCACATCCAAGGAAGAACAGTCAGCAGGGGTAAACAGCAAAATAAAAATAAACAAACTAAGTCTTCTGACCTATCAAGTCATTGAGTTTTCGCGCCAGTTCTGAGCGCTTTTCCGCTTGTCGGGCGGCGGATGCAGATTGAGGCTTGGTTTCGTGAGGTTTCACACGAAGGTGGTGTGGGGCCTTGGTGGATTCGAATGTGAAACGTTCCAGAAGGTGGTTTTTTTTCTGTAGCCTAGCCCATCGATCACATGAGGTATGTTCATCATGGAACAGTGCTTGGGCGGTAGTGGTAGCCGGATTCCAGCTGGCTACCATAAGGTGAAATTGTAAGTCAAAATGGTTTGTCAATAGACAAAGCTGCATGATTCAAGTTTGGTCAGTGTGTGAAGATTGGTGTTAATATATTGGTAATAAATCAATCGATATGAGACTTGCCTGACGGGAAACTTTGCCGATTTCTTGCTTCATGAGTTGCTCGGATGTGCGGTTGCTGGATTTCCCGCTGTGTCTCCAAAGCCGGCCCAAGTGGAGGTCCTGTGAGACTTTCTTTAAGTTCACCAATCGCTCAAAAACCGGTACGTATTTTTCAAGTTCGTCCTGGGTGAGTGGCTCAAGGCCAGATTTTGTTGAGGTACCCATAGATGTATCTTGAACAGCGGTTGAGGTCGAGATTCCTAGTGGAGTTTGAGTAAGTGCATATGCCTCATGTGTGGCCACACAGAGACACTCGAAGAGTCGAGGCGTAAAGACTTCTTGTTCTTCATCGATGTACGTGGACCATGTTGAACCTACAATGCGGTTGCGCTCAGGAAAACCCTGGGAAACACCCTTGGGTGGCACTAGGTTGCCAAGTGGAAGTTTGATTAATACATGAGTTTCATACCTTCAACAATATATAATATATATATTGGTGACTATCTGGTAACTGAATCTTAACGTACTTGGAGTCGAGGTAGCCACATTACTGTAAGTTTGGTAGTTAGTATACATATTGGGTTCTCGGGCAAGCGGCCCTTCTAACCTGGTGAGGTGTAAAAAGAGGTATCAGTACCCTGTCTTGGAAGCGTTGAAGAAAGCAGAAAATGAAGAGATACAAT